ACAGTCTTTGATCTTTCTTAAGCTCCCTTTGATTGATAGTACTTCACAATTGGAAGTTTCGGAAAGATATATGCATAGAGCAGAAAACATAACTCAAAAAATGATGGGACTGCAAAGAACCTCATCACTCCCTTTCGAAGCCCATCATTGGTGTGTTCAAAAGCTGCCTTTGTAATTAGCCTCAAAGCTGATGTTAAAGCTCCTGATGCAGCCAAGCCCGGTAAAAATGACTGAATGAACTCTGGTTGCATGAAGGCCAAATCACCAACCATGCACCCCTTGAGCATTAGCATCAGCGACACCAAATGCTGCACTAATAAGGCATATGCTGATGAAGGCTCCTACACCGCCTTCTCCAGAACTTTCCAAATCTAAAATGATTACAAGAAATGAGCTTATGAAAAAGGGTGTGTAGCCAAATAGGTTCCTCATTCTGGTATTGAACTTTGCTTCATGATATGTGAGTATTGCAATGGTCATGAAGGCAAACAGCTGATAAACTAGAGAGTACTATTGTCGGATGGTACATCGGGAATATATTTGAGCATGATAGTCTACAATCGTTAACTAGTTATGAAATGAGAGATCCATTTCCTAAAAAGCACAAAACAATAACTACAGCAATCATTGTAAACCATGATTTATTTGCTTCACCTCCTCTGGAAAGCCCTAAACTGGTTGGTTGAAGTTTAGGCTGTTTACAGGAATTTCAGCGCCAATATGAAGGAGATTCGGATGCAGCGTAAAGCTTGTAGGAAGATGCATCTCCACTAAGGAAGTCTGCAGAATTTTTGGCCTGTAGGAAGCTTTCCAACCTATAGAGAGGATTTTAGGCTGCTAGGGACCTGGAGGGAGAGTTCCGGCGGCTAGTTTCTTCAAGGAGAGAGTTCCGGCGACTAGTTCCTACAGGAAGGAGTTCCGTCGGCGGGAAAGTCTGTAGGAGGGAATTCTGGTGGTGAAAAAGAATGCGGGAGGGAATTATGGTGGTGGGAAAGGCTGCAGGAGGAAATTTTGGATGCAAGGAGGAATTTTCTGGCGAAAAAAATTGAAAAGAGGAGGCGAAGGAAGAGCCTGCTGTCGGCAATCTTCGTAGGGCCTGCATTATGACAAAGATTGCCGGTTGCAGAAATAGGAACTTTCCAGCAACAGGAGACTCTAGGGTTTGTTTCAAGGCTTTGATACTATGTTAATTTGCAGAAATCAGTGGTATTCTTATTATTTTGTTATAAATACCCTATATGAATTCTGTTCTAATAACATGAAAGGAAAAATATAACACTTATATCTCTAATTAATCAATTCATAATAATAATTATTATTGTTTTGAAAATAATTCATAATAATTACTTGGAGATAAGAGAAACGACATAAAATAGGAAAGAAAATTAATTCAATCCAAGGAAATAAACTCAATTCAAGAAATAAAATCTAATCCTCATAACTTTTAACAAGAATAAATTATTTCCTAATTTGACTTGTAACATTTATATTTGAAAGTATCGTTCAAATTGAAAGTTCTTGGTGTTAGAATTCAATACTAATTGTAATAAGGTTTCAATAAAATTCAATTAAAATCTGAACATGATTCAAACCTAATTCGATTTTTATTAATTTTTTTTCTTCTTTTTATCTCTTTTAAAATGGACTCATTTGAGTCATATATATATATCAATCAGATCGCATTATTCAATTGTGTTCACATTAGAGGTCAAGTACTAAGTGCACTACATTTGACATAGCTGAATTTTCCCCAATTGTTGGGCTGGGGATTATAAAATTAACTATATGAGGAGTAATTTATTAGGATTAGTAGAAAGTGACTTAAATAACTAAATGTACAAGGATAAAATTACTAGAATTTGAACCTGGACAGAGTGCATTGAAGCTAAAGATGTCAGAAAGCTTGATCTGTGTTTCTTTGTTGAGAGTGATTCTTTGATTGATTGAAGATAAGAGATTCTAGGTACTTATGAGGTAGGATGTCATGGGAAATGATGATGACTTGAAGAGATTATGTGCTGTATCATGAAGTCATTGCTCCGAGGAGGAATGTCTCGGTCTATTTCTTTGGAATTGGTTTTGCCATAACATTATAATTTATAAAGCAATCCTAAAATTTAGGAGAAGATGTGTTGTGGAGCCTGGAAGGATGAAAATGTAAGTTTCTATTATCATCTTTAATTAAATAAAAGATTTTTTTGTTGATGTTTCAAATTATGAAGACTATTAATTTGTTTATTGTAGATGATTATTTATAATATATTGGTGTATAGAGTTGATTGTCAAGACTAGGTTTGTTGTACATACCCCTACTCACTCAAGCCTATACAAATTTCTTTGACCAATGATTTCATAGATTCAGTGGGGAAGTGACAATACCATTGCAAGAAATATCTTTAGCAAGAGTATAAGCTCTTAAATATTCTTCAAGCTAATTTTAATTTGATTAGATTTGACATAATTATGCTCTTTGATTTGCTCAATCAACACAACAAATCAACAATCTCCACGTACAATAGTATTTACCCTTGAGGGAGTTTTTAGTTGTACCTGGATAGCAATGTTTTGTCTTCTTATGTTAAGTAAATATAAAGAACTATCTGGAAGCGGTGCTTGCCTTTATTAAGTTTAGATGTTTTAAAAGTGCAATATATTATACAGATAAGTTACATTGATGTAAATCGACAATATACGGCAGACCTTAATTTATAATTTATACTGCATAAATCAAAGCTTTTGAGTATATTGCATTGAGAAAATTTTCCCATCTGTGAGTAAAAATCCAACTTCATCGGTGTCGGCGCTATTTCAAGTTTTTGGACTCGGTAGCTTATTTGTCGGGAGGGAACACATTTTCTGTCCGGACTCCTGACGTAGTTCTACGTGCGGCGTAGATTATTTTTGAGTTATTTTCAAGATATTTTTGGGTTATTTTCAATAATCATGAAATAATCTAGAAATAACCCTCGATCTTTATTTTTTGGTTATTTTGGTATTATTGAAAATAACTTAGAAATAACTTCGGCCGCACGTAGAGTTATGTGAGGAGTCCGCATAGAAAAATATTTGGTTTGGAGGGAGAAAATATTACATAAGGTAGATCACATGTTTGAAAGGTGGTTCGGATTCAATCACGTCATCATCATATATTGCACAACTGTCCATCTAAGCCATCATTTGAACGTGTGATCCGCACGCATAATAATTATTCACCAAGAAGGTTGTTGAATCTATCAAAGCAATTTATATGAGGATTTGAATAATTTCGGACCTAATATCTATTTTAATTTTTAGATTTATAGCTTCTTATTCAAGAATAAAATGTTTTCATTTTTAAAAGTTAATAATAATGATATTTTTGATTTGTTATGAAAAATTTGTATTATAAATATAAAAATTAAAATTTAGATATTACATATGTAAATGTACATGAAATATGTGCTTCTTAAATGCCCCTTTACATTAACAATGATGAGGAAATCAGGAGACTAATACATATCTTTCCTTATGAACATTATGATTAATAGAGGTGAAAGTGAGTCGAGGTTTTTTAGTTTATTAACTCTGACTGATCAAATTTTTGTAAGCACTGCAAGCCAAACTCGACCCTAACTCAAGTTTGTAATTTGACAAATGAGCTGATCTCGAATTGGACATGAATCGAGCTCAGCTATACTCATTTACACCCTGAATGATGACATCCATTCACCAAAACAAATAAGGGTTTGCTTGCAAATATTTATTTAAAATTTACAACATGAATCAATACCTGTATTAAGCAATCATTTTACATGTATCTGATAACCGAAATCTTGCTGCTTCATGGCGAGAATATAATAATAATATACAATCAACACATTGGCTTATATCCAGTTTGCTATAATGCAGAGGTAGATAACTCTGTTTACCATTTTATTCCTTCTCAGTCATAAGTATATTTTATTTCATCATATGAAAGTTTGAATTTCATGTCTGTTCATGAATAGGGCTGTCAAAAAAGCTCATCGTTCGCGAACAATCCGTGTTCAGCTCGTTAAGTAGCTCGTGTTCGACTCATTCATTAAGTAAATAAACCGAACACGAACAAGTTTTTAAAGCTCGAATTATAAACGAGCCGAACACGAACAGCTTTTTGTTCACTTGTGTTCGGCTCGTTTTATCTCAAAATAAAAAACAATTATATAATTATTTATATAAAAATATATTACACATATTATTTATATCTAAGTTTAAATCGTAATTGCTTATGGTAATATGGTTATGCGTCTTGTTTTGCATGCATTTGATTCAGATTTGAATTCAGCACTATACATTTATTTCTTCAATTTAATTTTAACGAGCCAATTTCGAGTTGAACACGAGCACGAATATTTAAATCGAGCAGAACACGAACATACTGTTCACGAGCCGATTTCGAACACGAGCCAAGCTTGAGCTCGCTCAAGCTCGACTCGTTTACAACCCTATCCATGAAGTGCTTTATGCAAGATAAATCACGGCAATAAAGGTTTAAAGTTACAAGTAGTACAAATATCACAGAAAAAAAGATAATTTGCATAGACACAACTTTGCATAGGAAAAGAGTTATAAGTGTTGATTAAAAAAGATGGACTAATCTGAATTTGAAATTAAAGAGACTACCTGCAAAACTTCTGACAATCTCCAATTGAATTTGTATATTACATTTTCACTATCTGCAACATTTTCTGCCATAAAACAATTACAAAATCTGTGAAAACATTCTTTTTTTCCTTTTTTTTCTTCCTGTATAATTCTTCTCCATTAAAATAATAACTCGAATGTTCATGAACCAATGTAAAAATTGTCAATTCTGATACAGATTTCTATACACCAAACCTCTATCATATTTCCCCTGGATACATCCAACCAGAAAAAAATATAAAATAAGCGCGGCTAATTAATGCCCCAATCTTAAAAAAAAAACCTTCCAGGCTGCATAAACTTCTTTTTTTCCTCCTCACTTGAAAATGTATTTTAAAAAAAAAAGGGGATATTTCAATTGAATACCCCTAAAGAAATGAGACCCCCAATCTGCCAAATAAATATGTTCCATCTTCATTCTCTATACACCGAAGATTTGAAACCTCAAAATGAAATTGATTCAGCCAAAACAAAGTTGGCGAGAAGTGTGGCTATTTCTGGCCGGTCATGTACGAACCGGAAAGCCGAAGTTTTGGTATACTCTGACTTCGCCACCTCGGCTAGCCGTTACAATCACCATGCCCCAAGCCAAGCCGCCACTTTGCAGTGGCGGCGGGGGCTTTGAAAGATCACCACTACTCAGGCGGTTATGTTTGCCAGTTGATGAACGAAGCTTCTCCTCGGGCCAAGTAGATGATACCCTATCACTATATGCTGGCGAAGGGGCATTATTTTGAAGGGTAGTTTCATTGAGCGACTCTAAGTTGTTGTTATTTGGTTTTGATTGAGAATTGAGGTTGTTTTCTATTGGAGTGGAGGTAGAATTTGGCCAGGGAATTGCTGCTGTGACATCCTGAGAGTTAAAATACTCGTAGGATTGTGTGATGGAGATGGAGGTCTTGGTTCTACTTGGACGGGTATCAGAGTCCTTCCGCCATACATACACGTGGGAGTCTTCGCTGGCGCAGATGATGTACTTGCCATTTTGTGTCGCGGAGGCTGAAATTTGACTGCTGGTGTTTCGAAATCCTGGAGGAAGGCGACGGAATGAATGTTTTAGATGAATGTTGTGCGGGCGTGGTAAGATGTCATTTTTAGATGAGTTAGGTGTGTTTTAGCTCTACGGTTGTTAAATATGTAAAAATCAAATTTTTGAGAGTTAGACATGCAAATATCAAAGAATTTTGTGGCATGTATGTAGATTTCTCTAAGTTTTTTTGCACGCACTTAAATTTAAATAAATAGATGAAACATTAGCAGTAGGAATTAAGTAGCTGGGAAGGCCAAAAAAGAAATTTAAAGAGAGGTTATGTAGTTGAACTTGTCTAGGCAAAAGAAATACATGTATGAATTTTGTAATAACCGACGGGAGGTTTGAGCGCCCAACCCGCCCAATGGAATAAGGGGACATTTACATACATAGCACACAATTCTTATGTATTTAAATATGAAAATTTTAAGTGTCAGATATGTAAATAAATAAAATTTGTATGATTAATAAGTAAATTTCCTAAGAAAAATAAATTGCAAGAAATGAATTAAAACAGACTCAGGTTCAGAAGCTTTAGTTAGCTAAAGATGTTTGGTTCATCCCACAATGGCTCGGCTAATTTATTTAGGTGCCAAAAATATCATTCTACTGAGGTCTATATGCATAGGCGACTGTAAATGATATATGAACCAACTAGATTGCTACATGAAAAATAATGATAAATAGTGAAGGAAAGAAAAAACCTTTAAATTTGTGAATGAGATTGATCCCATCAACGACCCTAATCCGCGAATCAGCAGAGGTGATTAGAACTTCTGATGAGCTACCAGGGATAAACTGTTTCATGGTACTAATTAGAGTTATCGACTACAAAAGCACAAAAAATATAACTATATAGTTCAAAGAAATATTATTAGAAAATACAAAACCTCATGCACCTATGAAAATATGGTATCTGATGGAATTTGGTACTAGTTCATGACAATATATTTCTCTTTAAAAACAATTACTTGCTGCAATAATAGGACATAAATGACTGGTTCTGATCTCGATATCAAAGGTAGTAAGAAAAACAAATTAGTTGAGTAATTTTATAATTGAATCCCAGAAGATGAACGTAATCATATATTCAACAACAATATCCTACATAGTCCAACATAATTCCAGTAAAAATTCAAAAAGTCTACAGCGGAAATGCCAGTTTGTTTTGAATGGGTAGTGTGGAAATGCTTTTCCTTTCAAATTTAGAGTTCTCTTAATAAGATAATACTCTTATTATTGTAAGTTCAAATTGTATTTTGATTTGGGATATTAATGAGAAGAGAAAAGTCCAAGAAACATGTAATAGATTTCAAAAAATTTGTGAAATTGTTTTCATACATGTAGATTATTGAAGTTTCCAGATTTATGTAAACTCTTTATCTAACAGCTGCATAAAGATGGAGAAGGGTAGGCTAGGGGTGGCATAGCAGCAGAGAATGAAGACGTGGAGCTATACAAAATAGGGGATTTTACCCAATACTAAAGTATTTACATATTGGACACCAAAACTTTTACATTTATACCACCTAGATCTTTCATGTCACAACAAAAATACCATCTAACTTTTAACAAGTGAGATACATAGGAATTGAGTGGTATGTATGTAAATAGTCCTAAAAAATATTGTAGCAAGCAGAGATAGAATAAGAGACTTCGGTTAATGTAACAAGAGCATATTCGGCTACCCTGCAAGAAGAAGTTTTGGTAGAACCCTGTTATTTGTAGTAGGACAAGAAAAGAGAGATTTTTCACTACCAAAAAAGGAGGAATCAGCCTTTGCAAAAACTTCGGGCATGTTTGAAATCACTTTGTTTTTCATTTTTATTTTTATTTTTTATTTTTTATTTTTCTTCAAAAAAATTTTGCTTAGTGCAATTTTTGTATTTTTTATTTTAAAAAATTAAGTGTTTTTTAAAATATCTAAACATATACAAAATTATTTTGTGTGTTTTTAAAACAATCAAATAAGTTAAAATATATCAAACATGTTTTGTTTTAAAACCAAAAAAAAAAAAAAAAAAAAAAAAAAATCAAAAGTGATCCCAAACGGCCCCTGAATTTTGAATCTTTGAATTATTTATCCTTCGATTGTATTTCAAATGCTTATCATTGCAGCAAGTGTCTTCGTCTTTAAATCTCCGTTAATTGGATGGACACTAGTAACAATAATTATCTCCTAATTGTGCAAGATAAATTCTCCGGTACCTATCTTGATATTTGTGATTTTTTTTTCATTCATGCGGTAAATATAGCCTCAAAACGCTCCTCACTTAGCTAGTTCTGGGGGTGACAAGAAAGATCTTAATGAAGTAATTGATGAAATCATGATTTGAGCAAATCATTGCCTCACATAGGCTCAACTTACTCCTCACTAACCCTATTCTTGGGGGTGACAAGAAAAATGTTTTTGAAGTTGTTGAGATTTGTATCTTAATTTGAGGGGGCTAATTGTAAATAGAAAATATAGAGGAAGTCTAGGGGTTATTTGTAAATAATTCGTATGTCTCTATAGAAGCCCAACTCATGAATGAAAGAAATGAGATTTTTACCAAAATAATCATTTCTTCATGGTTTGAAAGCCCTAATACTAGCAGCCAGCCATTGTCATTGTCGAGATCGGTGTGGTGCAACTTGATCGGTGCAAGAAGTCGTGACTGGGAAGACAATGATGAGATCGCGGCTCAGGGCAAGTGGCAGCGATTGGGAGTGTACCCTCGACGTCATCGCGAGTCAATGGGAAGGCGACGAAGGAATTGTAGCTTGCTAGGAAGGCAACCATCGGATCGCGACGACTGTGAGCGTACCCTTTGCTTTTTCATCAAAGGCAACGATGGGACTGCGACCCTCTGAGAAGGCAATGATGGGACTGCGGCCCACTGAGAAGGCGACGACGTGATGGCGGCTCACTAGGAAGGCGACTAAGGGATCACAACTTGCTCGGAAAACAACCAGCAGATTGCAGTGCGAACAATGGCGATACGATCACGATTGCAGCAAGTTGGGAAGTCGAAGACGAACTTGAGCGTGCCCTAGAACTGAATCAACGACACCTTTGGTTGTTGGATCACCATAAAGTGGCACGAACAACTCAGTGCAGAGGTAGAGAGCGCGTGAAATCAGAGCAGTGGAGGAGAGAAATTTGGTTCTACATACGTGAGAGACCGAAGAAGGCTGAGGAATAGTAAAATTGATGATAAAGGAGAAAAGTTGCATGAGACTACACTCTGAGCAGAGAGGACGTCCATGTATGCGATTAGCTTAGGCTGCATCAACTCAGGTATGGCAGGTGCTTAGAGAAACCCACAGGTGCTACAACTATGGAGAAGTGGGACACTTGAGCATGGCTTGTCCAAAACCACCCAAGAAGAGAGAGATGGGTGTATGTGGACACTCTAGATGCTGTGATCGTAATCATAATTGTGGGGTCTAAGGGGTGGAAGTGGAGGCTAGCGGACAAATCCGATGGTAGCAAAGAACGAGGGAAAGATAACAGTAGTTTACTAGAGATATTGAAGAGAAAGTGAAGGGCGAAAGGTATTGTAACTGAGGATGCATCCACCTTATTGTCATCCAAAAAGAACACTGCTAATTATGCTCACTCAGCCAAAAATACTCGTGATATACATGCTCTTGTCTCTATATTCACCACAAGTTCACTAGAATTGATAGCAGATTCTAGTGCATCTCAGCATTTAACGGGTACCGCTAACAAGTTCTATTCTTATACTCACCTAATAGCTCCAAAGAGCATTCAAACTGCTAATGGTACAAGACGGTCTGTGATTGGTAAGGGTATAGTGAGGTGTGACAATTTGATAACTTTGTTTAATATTTTGCATGCTCATTCCTTTCCAGCAAACAATCTAAAATGTGTTATTTCATTTGATATAAAAGAAATGAACTAACTTAAGATTTAGGACTGACACGTGGCATAGTGGACTCTGGTACTTGGATAGAGAAGGGATGAACCCAGCCATGGCATCCATGGTTGAGAATGCTAGAGTAGGAGGATTTGAGAGGAGTGTAGAGGATGTTTTGTTGCTACATCACAGGTGCCTAAGACACTCTTCATTTAGTCTATTAAGTCGTTTGTATCCATCATTGTATGAAAAGTAAAAAAAAAAAAAAAAACTTATGTGCGATGTTTGTGATTTTGGTAGGCATACCAAAAGCTCTTCTATTAGTTCCCGTATAAGAAGTTTTTATGTTTTTGATTTGGTGCGCTCATATTTATGAGAACATTATTCTAAAACTTCTCTGGATGGTTATAAATATTTAGTGACTTTCATTGATTGTTTTTCTCATGTTATTTGGTTATATCTGATGAGAAATAAAAGTGATGTGCTTGCCTTCTTTAAAGACTTTCACATGACAATTCAGACTCAATACAATGCAGTAGTGAAGGTATTGACATTTGATGATGAGATAGTATATCAACAAGGCGTTTGAGAAATACTTGTCAGCCAAAAAGATACAATATTAAACTCCATGTTCATACACAGAGACAGAAAACATAGTAACTGAGAGAGAATAAACATCCAGAGATAGCTCGAAGCATGATGACCACAATGAGTATCCCAAAGCACTTGTGAGAGCAAACAATTTTGACATCAACTCAATTAATTAATAGAATGCCTTCGAGAGTGTTAAATTGGAAGTCTCATTAGCAGATATTAAAAAGAGAAAACAGTAATATCCTCCCATTAAAAGTTTATGGCTGTGTATATTTTGTGAAGGGCAACAAACCATCAGTAGGGAAACTATATCCTAGAGCTATGAAATATGTTTTCGTGAGTTATTCTGCTACCCAAAAGGGGTATATTTGTTGGAGTCCAATAGAGAAGAGGGTGAGCTTGGATGTGTCCTTTAGAGAGTTTGAACCATACTAAATGGAAAAGGCAACCTCACCTTTTGGTGACTCATCAGATATTGGAGGTGAGACGTGAAGAGGAGAGTAGTGATGGTCAGAGATTGGTGCAAGTGGAAATGATGTTTTGTCCTGTTGTGTGAGAAGAATCAATTGAAGAAGAGTAAAAAAATGAGAAAAATCAACTTTAAGGTGGAGGGATTCAAGCTCAAAGTGAGTTGAATGTGTATAAGAGGAGGCAGAATGAAGGAACAATATATGCCGTGTCACCCGTGTCATCAAGTCCGGAAACAGTGTTTGTCATACCACTCATGTCATCAAGTCCATTGTCCCGGTCTACCTGAATCCTGAGAAAACTACATCTTCCACTTCAGAATCTGATTACCCAGGTGATATGGTTCCTCTCTCTTCTCCTCCCACTCCAATAGCTTTAAGAAGGACCTCTCGTAGCAATCTGAGTCGTTCTCCTGATCGTTATTCACTTGATTGTTTTGATTTCTCATATGACATTGCTCAGTTTGTCTCATGCTCTAACATGTCATCTCTCTGTACACAGAGCAATCATTGCATCTTTACACTCTATACTCAAGTGTTGGCAGGTAGCTGATGAAAATTCAAAGTGAAAGGTTACCATGTAGGAGGAACTAGTACTCTCGATAAGAACAAAAGATGAGAGATAATACAATTACCAGTAGGGAAAAAAGTAGTTGTGTATAAGTGAATCTTCACAATAAAACAAAATCCTAAAGGGAAAGTAGAACGTTATAAGACACGATTAGTGGTGAAAGGGTACAGTCAAACATATGATATTGGCTATGACAAGAATTTTGGTAAGCCGCTATATTTATAATCCACATAAGGGTATTATGAAAGCAGTGTATCAGATTATGAGGTACCTGAAGAGTGCAACAGGAAAAGGGTTGAACTT